GCCAACTGCATCTCAGTCCGAGCCGCGTGATCGGTTGCCCTGACGGCACCTACCCTTGTACCCACCTCTCGCTTGGACATCTCTGTGAGTCTAAGAGGGGCCACCGTTCTTCCGCCAGCTCGAGGAATCTCCAGCGGGACTCTACCACGAAAAGAAGCCTCACTGACACCCTCCAGGGTGCTGTCGGCGATCATAGCAGTGCAACGCAACGGAAACAACCCCCATCTCGATTGTACACCCGCCCCAAGAAGAATCTTCCTCCCCCACGCCGTCCTAACTACGTAATCCACGAAGTCCGAGTAAAACGAGCGCCGCCGAAGGTTTCCTCGAGGACCGAGTCCTCGCCCAGCGCTATCGCGACGATCAGTACAAGTTGTATGAGTAGGTTCGCGGGAACGTCAGCACCTTGTCCAGACATCGACTACGCTTCTCCATCTGAAGTAGCTTTTGTGGCGTCTCCCTGGCCTCCTCGGGTAGTTTACCTGCACGACTACTACAACCCGGCGTCGATTCGACTACCGTTCGTGTTCCATTACGGAGACTGCGGCTGCTAGGATCCATGCCGGATTGACACGTGCCGTAACGCGAACATAAATGTGTTTTGCACCGACAAGTGCTGCGTTTGGGAGGAGCTTTGCGCGAACCGCCCCCGTGAGTCCAACAATGTCGATGTAAAGCAGGAGCCTACTACGGGAAAGTACGCACTGGTTGCCAATGTCGCCCATGAACGTGGTGAGGTGCTCGGAGAGTACCTTGGTCGGCTTCACTATGTGGAGACTGACCGGGCTAAGCGTCAGAGGAGCGACGGCTACATGCTGACCCTTCGTACACGAACGGATGGTACGCGCTCGAGGAATGTTGGCATCGATGCGTATCTTCTGGGTGGTCGCATGCGCTTCGCTAACCATGCGTGCGATGCAAGCGCTGAAGGTTTTGAATTCGCAAACGGAGCTCGCCACACTGTTGTTGTCGTCACCACCGGGCCCATAGCGTCTGGATGCGAGGTTACTGTGAACTACGGCTCGGACCTCTGCTTTGAGTGCCGTTGTAAGTACACCAAGTGCATCCACACATCCATCCAGCACGAAGAGGACCCGTAGCTGTACTTGCTAGCTCTCCTCCTTGTACGGTAGCCACACTGTAGCTTTGCTTCCCATCTGGACCTTGGACCTCCAAGTCTTCAATTCTGTTTTCCTGGGTCTGTAGCTGAGTACCTCTGTGGCGGTATCGTGATCCACCATTGTCTACTTTTTTTTCAATGAGAGTGGTTTTGCTGTGACGTCCTGCATCATCTGGATGAAGGACTTTTGGCGGTCAAGGAGACACCGTCTGATCAGTTGCTGCGCCACAGCTCATTTCCGATTTTCATCTGTGGCGCCCACATATTCTCACTGCCAACAACACTCCTCGGTACGTGTAAGCTCATTACTGGATGCAATTTGAGCGTGGCTGTGAGTTAAAGACTGTTTTGATGCCTTGTGTGTACAATCAGTTCGATATGGGGAAGCCTACCGGGTCCGCCAACTACTCACTGCACGAAATGCACCACATGCTGGATATCGTCAAACGCATTCTTCCGCAACGGAAATACCACTGGGATGCTGTACCCGCGCGGTATAACGCGACACGAGATGGCAATTGGCCTGAGCGGGATATCGACAGCCTGCGCCGTAAGTTCAAGGCCTTGTAGGGAATAAGAAAGCCCACGGGCAATCCCAGCATTCCAAGGCATATCCGGCTTGCTAAGAAAGTGAAAAAAACTCATCGACGATGCTTGCTCCGTCTTCCTAACTAGCGACGCCGACGACAATACCGTGACGGATGTCATCGACTTTCGCGACTCTAGTGGCGGTCGACCTGCTCAAGAGGTCGATTCCGACGTTGACGAGGAGGAATTCTGCGCTGGAAACTTCTGCGTATACTGATACGGACATAATTGGGTCCAGCCTTCGTGAGAGTGTCGATGGCGTAGCAATTGGGGGCGGCACAGACTTGTCCGGGTTGGAGTTGGAGCTGGCCGAGGCCGCCAAAGTAGTGGCGGCCACCAGCCCAATCGATGCAAATGCGAACGTTATTGGTAAAGGAGAGTTGGTGCTGAGGCGCAGCCCCCGCAAAACGTCCAAACCGGCGCCGGCGAAACGCACATCCAAGCAAGAGAAGCCTGCAACCACCACATGTTCGTCAAAGATGCCTGCAGCAACTATTTCTGTCGAAGCACGCGAGAAGCTTAGGTATCCGGGTCTAGCGGAGAGCTCGGACCGCTTGGAAGGTGTGAGCTTGGTCGCTATGCGGGATGCATCCAAGAACCGGACGTACGACAAGTTCGAAGAAGCAAGCTACACAAAGCAAAAACGGATCAAGGCTGAAAAGGCAGCTGCCGATCTTAAAAAGAAACTGACCCGTGCAACGCAGAGCTCCGCCGACTCTTTCTCAGAGTTAGTCAAGACTATCATGATCTTACGTGCTGACGCTGACAGGGAGGGCAGGGCACGCGTGGAAGCAGCAGAAAATAAGCGCGCCGCCGAACGTGAAGCCCTCGAGGTGCGACGACGCGAGGAACGCCGAGAACAGAGAGAAGCAGCGGAAGAAAGGCGCTGTGAAGAGAGGTGCGAAGAAAGAGAAGCAGCCGAAGAGAGACGCCGCATCGACCGCGAGGAATCTCGTGCACACATGCGCGAGATGATGATGATGTTATCTGCTATTCAGAATGCAAAACACCCCTCAGTGGATATCTAGTTCGCCACACGCCGCACCACGGGGAAGGTGTCAGCCGCTCCTACTCACACTACCGCTTCGTTGCACATTCGACCTCCTTCCTTAAATTGACGTCTCCATTCATGCTCGTAGCTTTTGAAATGAAACTGGAATTCTGCTACGCGATTACCGCATTTTTGATTGTACGCTGCTGGATAAATCCACGACTGCCGTGAGATATCATCCAAGACAAATTTCAGAAGGACACGTTTGGTGTAAATAACAATCTAACGCGTTCGATTGCTTGGGTTAGACCTACTACAAGTACAAGTACAGCTTAAACTTTCAGACCCTCCATATACCCATCCAGCCACGGGCGAATCCACGAGTACAGGTCGTACGAATTTGGCTTATACCTGTTGTACGAACCCTGTAGTTTGCGAGCTGAAAGATGTTAGAGAGCTGAATCCTACGTCGGCCTTGGTCGTAGGGAAGTGGAAGCAACAGTCGATGTTACCCTTTCTCCACACTCCCCAGGCCTTATTCAGCAGCCTGACGAGCCGACGTTATCTCATTATGCAGACGTCGCGCTGGACTTCGTACTGAAAAAAGGAGGCGGTCAATGTCACCATCTTTCAGCGGTGTGAGAATCCTACCACGCATGTTAGTCGAGCATGGAAAAGCGAAGTCGCTGACGATTCTGAGACTTTGATCCGAGAACAATGTCGTGTCCAGCAGCTTCTCCCGCAGCTCGAGGCTCGTATCCGCATCGTTCCACGATCCGGGGCAATTATGTTTTGCCCAAAGTAGACAACCGTCTGCTCCAAAGCAAATTGTACCAGTCACGAATACGGCATGAAGGCATCCGTTATAATAGGCATTCTGAATATCGGAATCACTCGGCTGCATTACCTTCAGTAAAATCCACGTTAGCTATTACGTACATGCCAGTAATGGACTGCATACCACTCATTTTATAATTCTTGCCATCCACGTATCCGAAGATATTGCCCAGCAACGGTTCGTGAGCCGCAACCCACACTGCCATCCTGCGTTGATGCTCGAGCGAAGTCCAGCCAATACGTGCGGGGTAGAAGCCATGCTTCAAGAGCACGCGCCAATGTTCGCTGGAGAGTCGTAGGGGTGGACTGCAAATATTTCGCAAAGCGATTTAATACCCATCGAACCCTCGAAGTAGTGCAGCAACAGCCCCAGTACTTGATGATGTTTCGTCAATTTGGTGGCCTCCCGCCTACTCGACCAGGTTTGTGGATGGTATAGCACCCAGCGAAGCGAGCGAGGAGCTCGTTGAAGGCTTCCCTGCATCACCACATCAACACCCGCTTTGTTAGACTTGTTATGATTCCAGGTTGGTTTCCGTTATCGCACAACTGACCGAGTCAACGTGGTGACGCTGAGCAGGTTCTCATCCGTGCCGTACGTGTACAGCAGGGTCCACGCAGAGAGGTGTGGCACGCCGAGACAGGAAGCTGTGAGACGATGCCGGACCTTGAGCTCGCGCTTCAGCTCCGCACTAATCAGTAGATCGTTCACTTGGTGGCGCAGCTCCTGGAGCTCCCGAGATTGTTCACAGAGAACTGCAACGACGGCAACAATTTCGGAGGATCTCATCCGGCACGGATCCGAAGAAAGCAAAAATGCGATGTTATTTCCCTTTTTCCTGACTATGCTGCACTCAGCTCATAATGCCCCAAATCATTGATACCGAGTGTTTACACGTGGTATGAGGCAATTTCTTCCGGACGCAACAACGATGCTTATGCCAGTTTTGGGGGGCAGTTTTCATCTCCATCTTGGACAACGGCTTACAACAGGAGTTATTTTCCGTCTTACGACGGTCATACGACACCTGTCGAATGCCATCTATATGACAGTTTTGGGCGGTGTCCAGTGCAATACTAGAACTCTTCAGTCTTAAAGCCTCCTGCTTTTCTATTAATAGAACCTGACTGAACAAGCTTTTGCAAGTCCTCGGTTCACAGAGGGTTAGGTGTCAAGAAACGTACTTAAGCGGGGTAAATACTTTAAAATATTATCTTGTTTCTACATGTTTTAAAATCTTAGAGTAAATATTGAAATATTATAGTAGCTTTTGCTACTTTTACTATTTAATATCAAAATAGTACTATTACTATCAAAAATACCAAAAGATATTTGGTTACCATTACACAATTTGAGACAAAACGGGACCTGCTGCGATTGTGACCACGGAATGATTACTATCGAAGGAATCTTCGTTTTTTTAGGAGCGAAAAGTATTTTGAGTGAAAAGCCTCCAAACAGTTATGCCGCCAAAGAAGAAGACTAAGGGCAAGAAGAACAAGGCCAGCGCTGGTGGAGCAGATGCGGCCGACAATGCCGTCGAAGCTACCTCTGTACGCCTAGAACTACTTACCAGATATGCCAACTTAAGCCTTTGTATTATCGAATAGATAATCGACAGCGCTCCACCCATTTTCATCCAAGCCGACCCAGTACACTACGTGACACTCGATATGCGGGTAATCTCAATGCACAGTCCAAGTGTGGTTATTGTTCGAGGACACTGACTTTTTCTTAATGCTAGCTACTCAACTGGAGCTATCTCAACTTCAAGTTCCGCACAAAGATCTCCACTCGGTTGTTTGCCGTCAAAGTAAGTGAAAGATAAAACACTGCGACTGCTTACATCATGATGCCTTTTCAGTAACATCTCGTTACTTGTGCGGCTCCAGCAACAAATTCAAAAGCAACACGGCCCGATCACGGAGCTCAAGATCTGCAAAGGACACTTCGCCGAGGCCAATGAGTTACGACACGACATGATGACTTTGGCAGAGTATGGGGTTGAAGGTGCACCCGAAGGAGACCCCGAAGTGGTAGGTTTGCCATGGTCTAACTAAAGAATAGTTGCCTTATTGATACTCAACGTTTGTGTGCATTACTCGCAGGTGTGCTTAATACACTACGACTTTAAGCCAGAGCAGCACGACAACCCGTTGCTTCTCGCCATGGAGAAGAACTAAACTATCACGGTAGCTATTTTTTTCTATCTACTTCATCTCCTTAAGCGCAGCGCCAATGATTTTGATCGCTTTAGCCACGACTTTCTTGTTCGCCTGGGAGCCCATGTGGCCCAAACGCAGCACCTTGCCCTTTAACGGCCCGTAGGATCCACCCACAAGCAGCTTCTGCGCACGTAGTTTGTTCTGTAGAATATCCCAGTCGCAGCCTTCAGGAAGTACAATCGCGGTCACAGTCGGTGACACTGCGCTCTCTTCCCCATACAGCTTGAGACGTAGCGTCTCCTTCACCTCACGACGTGCATACGCGCTCACTTCAGCGTGGCGACGAATTGCGGCTAGAATACCACCCTCCTGTTTGATGTTGTTGCATGCAACCAGAGCTGCACGAATTGCCTGCCAGTTGTGCGTGTATGGCAGCAGTCTGGGTTCCTGAAGAGCTGCTCGGTAGAACGGCTGGAGAGCGTCATATCCGACGTATTTGACCTCATTGATGCGCTGCCAAGCCTTCTCACTCACGGTAGTAAACGCTAATGCAGGAGGGCCGGAGAGCGCCTTGTGAGGTCCTAATAAACCCAAGTCAATCTTCCAGGCGTCGACATTTAATGGTGCACCACCTGCGCTCGACACAAAGTCCACTAAGAACAGACCGTCGGTCGTCTCATTGGCCACCGTCTCCCCTACGCCTTCCAAGTTATTGAGCACACCACTGGGCGTCTCGCAATGTACCGCAGTGACCAATTTGGGGTTTGATCGACGGATTTCTTCGTTCAGAGCCTGCACGTCGATGGTCTTGCGCCAGTCGCACTTGACCACACGAACATCTGCTCCAAGAGCCTTGGCCATGTCTGCGAAGCCCTCTCCAAACAGTCCATTGGCAGCACATACTACCACATCTCCAGGCTTTAATGTGCTCTTCAGGGCGCCCCACAACGCCAGCATGGCCTCACCCGATTGGATGGCCACACTATAGCTCTCAGCGTGTAGAAGTTCCTGTAGATTGCGCTCCAAAGCGAGATAGTCATCCCAGAAAACAGGATCCAGGTCGGAGGAGCCGCAGGCTGCTCCCAAAGCTTCTAGAACATTGGGTAGCATCTGGGACGGCCCCGGAACGAGCTCTAACATGTCGGTCGGGTGTGTCATCGCGTCAAGTACGTGGACTGAGGGATGCTAACTTTGATTGGGCTAAATCAGAAAGGAATCAGATTGTCAGAATGGTCCAAAAAATGCTTCCCCATTTGATTGTACCAAATTCATCCAATTTTCTCTAATTTCAGCAAATCCCAAACTCCGGCGAAGGTGCAGGCAGTTTTTTGCCCTCATTCTATTCTTCAGATAGATCCATCTCAATCGTCGCGTTATGCGCTCGCTCTTGCTGCTCTCGGTGGCGGCCCTTGCGGTCTCCGACGCATCCACGGACCAGATATTGATCTTGGGCAAGTCCTCGTCTCCATTATGGCACGAAACGCGCTCTTCTGGGGCCTTCTCCGCCGCGGGTATGGCTGATTTGGCGCTCAACTCACTCGGACTCAGTACGGGGCGAGTTTCCTCTCGTTCTGCGGTCCAGAACCCGCTACAGGCCGACATCTTCACTCACAGCGATGCGTACGCGATGATTCTATTGGAGGACGCGTCTGCGACTACTGTAGATTCCGTGAACGCAGCCTTAAGCGGCGCTCAAGCCTTCCACAAGCTTTACCCGGCGCAACCTGCTAACGCTAAGGTTCCGGTGGCTGTAGCTCAGGAATTTAGTGCCAAATACCCATCAGCCACTCGCTGTGCCGGTAGTACCGCGCTATGTGCCAGTGTGAGCGCTGACAAGCCCCATGTGGATGCGGAAGTGGTGCTACAGGTGCTCAAGGCCAACAGCTTCTTAAGTGCCACTCACGAGCAGGACGTGGCTTTCGCCCAGCAGTTGGCTCAGGTGATGCAGCTCACATCGGATTTAAAGTATACACAGGGCAAGAAGCTGTTCCTAGTAGGTCTCTCGACTCTGAAGGGAGACAAACAGAGAGCGGCGCAACAGGCTGTGACGACCACAGTGACCGAGTTCTTGGCTCAACTCATGAAGACTGAGCAGACCGTCGCCGCTCAGATAATGACAGGCACACTGCCTGCTATCATCGACGAGACTGCAGCTCTGTCCCGTCGTAACCGAAAGCTGGTGACGAAGCTATCGAATGAAGAAGACGATGAAGAAGAAGAGAGTGAAGGTGAAGACGAAGAAGACGAGGAAGAAAAAGATCTGGCTGCAGCCAGTGGCAGTATGTGGGAGGACGAAGACAATTCGACGGCCGCCTCTAGCGCTACTGCGCCTGGCGCTGTGTCGATGCCTGACATCGCTGAGTTCCAGATCATCTTGTGGACGTCGGTGCTGCTTGGAGTTGTGCTGCTCATGGCCATCATGGCCATGGCCAACATGAACACTGGTCGTGACAGTCTCCTGTACGCCAAGTTCATTGCCGACGTGAATGGCCGCAAGACTAATTAAAGTCTGCGTGAGAGATTCCTTAACTATGGAGAAGCACATTTTAGTTTCGGAAGCGCGTAACCCTTTTAATTTGCATCATTTTGCCCTTTTAATTTGGTTACAGCTGAAGGGTTATTCGATCTTTGAGCCGACGCTATGACATACGACGAAGGACGCCACCTTAGGGATGAGGAGCAAGCGCTAGAGTCGACTGCTGAGCAAGGTGCGTGTTGTACTTAAGCCTCGACTTGTGTGGTCTTGAGTTATCTCATGCTTCTGGAGAAGACCGACGTTTGACGGCTTCTCGAGCGAGGTGTGCGAGGGTGCGAGAGGTAGGGAGGCGATGGCTTGTAAAGTGCTCAAAAAGTGAGTAAACACTGTTTTTTTTTGCGCAGAATACGGAGCACGAGCTTGCGAGACTCGCTCAGCAACGTGCAGAAACTCGAGCGCAGATTGGAATCACATCAGCGATCATGGAACAGGTACATTTGGGTACCAAAAATCTGAATTAATCACCTAAGTAGACGTGTTCATGGAAGTACAGTGTCTAATGGAGTGCCGTGTAGTGGAAGCTGGAGCACCACCAGCAAATGCTGCGAGACTCACAGCCGTGAAAAATAATTACATGTATAACTCAGTATAAAAATGCTAGATAAATATACTCCATATTTTTAGGTTGATTCAGGTTCCATTTTTCGTTAGTAAAAAAGTTGGAGATGTCTTCGAAACCGAGTGAGTTGGATGCTGCAACTCAAGAGAAGGTCGTCGATTTGTTCGATAACGAAGCGATCTGGGACGCTGACGACACGGACAGATACATCGTCCAGATTTTCCACGAACTTGAGGCTGCGGGTGCGAGTATTGCAACTCTCAAGGATCTAGGATGGAATACATTGCTACACACAGCGTCGCTCTGGAATCGCCCCAAGATCATGGAGGAGCTCATTCGACGAGGAGCTCCATTAAACGAGAAGAACAAGAATGGTCATACGCCACTGGATCTGGCCATGCATTGGGGACACTTTGACATGGGACAACAACTCCGACACTATGGAGGCAAACATACCTGCGAGAAAGAACGCGACATCGCCATTTCGCAACGAGATTTAACTCAGCAGCAACTTAAGAACTTCGAGTTAGAGTACGAACACATGGTCGTGTCCCTCAAACACGCCAAACAGGAGCGTGAGCAGCTTCGAATCGAACGAGATCGCCTTGTAGTTCTACGTGCTCAAGTTGTAGAAGACTGTGTGTCACTGACCAAGCAGGTCGAGGCCTGTCGAAGTGTTATATCCTGTCTCACTAAAGAGAGTGACGAGTTGCATATTCAAGCTGCACACCTTCAAAGTGAACTCATTTGCGAGCAGACAGCTCGAAACAACGCGGTGCAGAGCTGGAAAATGGTCGAGACAGTCATTGTCGACTTGCAGCAGATGCAGGAAGAGTGTCGAGAGCGTGAAGAAGAGGCCTTGAGACTGCGTAATGAAGCCATTCATGATCGAGATGTAGCACGAGAGCGAGCAAAAGAAGCTCAACTGGACCAAGGAATCGCTAAACAAAACCAGATGGAGATGCAGCGAGAACGCGATCAAGCGATTGAGCGCGTACTTCAGAACGAATCGGAAGTTACACATGATAAAGAAAAATGGAGGAAGCTGACGGCAAAAATTGAGTTAGAACGACGGAATATTCAGATCGAGATCGACCGACAGACGGAGATTTTACGATGTGAGAATGAAAAACTGGAGAAGACAACGGCAACGCTCAATGTTGCTATCACGCGACAAAAAGTAGACATTGAACGGAGTCAGCTGACGATTTTAACGCTGGAAAAGCAAGTAGGTCGACTCTTCGTGCTGCAAATGAACAAAACACAAAACTTAAGGAACAAGTGGATACACTAATAAAGGAAAGACGGCAGGAATACAAAGCTTGGCGAGCCCAGATGGAGATTAAGATGCAGCTAGAATTAGCTAGCGATCTCAAGAGGGTACTGGGAGCGATTATTACGACGTGGAAATCTCTTCAAAGCTGTCAACAACACATGACAACGTTGAGTGTTTCTGCAGCGAAACCCCGTGCGTCTTCACCCTCTCGCACTCCTGCGATCATGTCGACTATCTTTCAGAGCCAACGACCCCATACAAGTGCAACAGGCAACTCGCAAGGATTGCTACCGTTTATTCAGGAAGCTCCTCTAACGGGGTTAAAAGGATCGAGCTCTACTTCTGTGCTATACAAATCCACACTACTTAATGACGTGATATCGGATGCGCCTCTGGCAATTTGTACTGATCGAGAACAGGCAATTATTGGCCATTGTGCAGAAGCTGAAGCATCTCTTCAAGAACTGACGAATGGAATGGCGTCGGAGCAGGTCGTACAGCTCTGTACATTCGTTCAAATCTTCGTAGAAGATGTGACGGCATACATTTCAGCTAATTTGAAGCGTCTCAGGTAGGCACTTGTGTTTATATAACTGAGTTTAGGTCTCGTTCTGACACTTGCTACAGGAGGCGAGCACTAGCTCAAGACAAGATGATAGAGCGAAAGGGTGAACTTATCCAACGATTCACACATCATCGTGAAGAGAAAGCAAAACACCGAAGCCCCGCTCGATACCGGGAGTGCTCCGTAAGACCACTGCTTTAAGAAACACATGTATCCATTACCTCAAACAAAGTGTACCTTAGCAAACTCTAGGAAATAATAACTCAGTGGAGACGTTGAGCTAATCCTTCCAAATTTGCAGAATTTATTGAATGACATTTTTTTGCATTTCAAGTGATAACTCTCACAAAAAGTACTTCGAAGTATCCAACAACAGCAAGTTGCATTTTTGGGCTCAGGTGATGTTTGTATGCTTTTGGGTGCACATAAAAAGTCGCACATTAAAACTTTCGTGTTTTGGCATGTAAACTATTAAAATCGTTTGGTGAGATCGCTTTTTGGTCTCATCAAACAATTCTGATCCGTCTATTAAGTCGCAGCGTGACTAAAATATTGGGATGGTAGCGCTTGGAATCAATTCGATAGAGTAATACATCATTTGAGGGAAGGTCAATCCTCGTGACTACAAGAAGCGCGACGAGGGAAACGAGCAACCACGCCAGTAGAAGATGGATCTGACGTGGCGAAGGTTAGCGAAGAAGATCTAATCGTTAACGAGGATACGCTGAATCTGCTTTGCGAAGACCTTCTCGTCTATACTCGTGCACCGTTGTTTTTAATTGAAGGACTAATGGTACACGATGGGAACAGCTTCGCTACGAAGTTCCTGTTGGACTGCGGTGCTACGACCGTCTACGTATCACCTGGATTTGTCAAGAAGAATGGACTTAAAACACACATTTATCCAGATCGGACCATCAAAGTAAAGCTTGGTGACAGCAAGATTGAAGAGTCTACCCTGGCGTTGGTGAAGATTGAGATCCGATTTTAAGGTGTCCCGGATTATCTGTGTGTTGCGGTTGCCTTTGACATTCCTGCGGAGTTTGATTGTGTACTCGGGATGCCATTCTTTGTGGATGTACATCTGGATATCGACTGGAAGAATCGATGCTTCACGAGATGCGTCTCAGATGGAGCCTAAACGGCGGACTTTTCGGCGCACTGTGGAAAGTGCAGCCCGGTTAATGGCTCTGGGCTTCACGATGCTGTGGATAGCGAAAACGCTTCCGCGATAGGCCGTGATTCCTGTCGGGCAGCTGTGCCAGAAACACAGTTGGAGCGGCGGGGTTGAAGGCGTTGAAAGACCAGCTGAGGACGTAGGGAAGCTCTCAAAGCGTGAAAAGACGAACGCCAGAGCCGAATCAATGTGTAAATTTGGAGCTGTTGACTCGGAAGGAGCTGAGACCAATTACATCACAAGGACGAAGCTACGGAAGTTCTTGCGGCTACCTGCGAAGGACCAGCCAGAATATGATTTCATGGATGGGCTGACGAACGATACTTTCAGATAGATCGAACGGGACCTCAGGAGGAACGATGAACCTGACAACGTTGGATCGGAGAAAGCTAAGCGATTCCTGAGCACGGACTGAAGGAGCTTTAAGGATAACTCAGCCTATCATGTTCTTGTCGAGTACAAGGATAATGCATTCAAGCCGGGGTTGCCCTATGGACTACCAATGGATCGCGACATCGAACATCGTATCGACGTGAAGGACCCTAACATTGCAATGTATCGACAGCAGTGGCGTTGTTCGCCGGAGCAGAAGGCAGATAGGTACGCGAGATGATTGTGAAGGGGCTAATCCGGCCGATCATCAGCCCTCATGCAGCACCAACGTTTTGTGTGCGGAAACCTGTGCGATGGCGCATTTTTATGATTACCGGTACCTGAACAGCAACACAATCCGACAGAGCGTACCCATGACGCGAAAGGAAGACGTTTCGACAGTATGGTCGGTGCCTACTACTTTTCGTGTATGGATTTAATGTCAGCGAGCTACCAATTTGGATGAAGATGGATCATGTCAAGTACACAGCGTTCCAAGCTCCAAGCGGTCTCTACGAATAATGGTTTTACCTATGGGAGTCAGCAATGCTCCTGCGACCATCCATCGGTTGACGTCGACACTGTTCAAGGGGTTGTCACACACTAGATCATTTTGCGATGGCATCTACGTGTTTTGCGAAGTTAACGGACATTGACAAACACTTGCAAGATCTGCGTGACGTGTTGGTAATTCTGAAGGAGAACAAGCTGTATGTGAAGCTGTCCAAGTGATGTTCTGTGCTGAAGAGATCCCGTGTCTTGGTGGTTTATTGCATGAACGGAGTTCGCATCGACCCAGCCAAGGTGCAGACAATCAAATATTGGCCAGTACCAAGGACCCAGGAGCAGCTTCACAGCTTCCTCGGTTCGACCGGATTCGTTTAGCGATTCTGCGAGCAGTACGCTGAGCTGACAGCACCGCTGTTTACTCTATTAAAAAAGAAGAACCTACTCAATTTGAAGATTACGCTCAACGCAGTGCAGCTGAAGAACTTCAAGGATCTGAAGCGACGACTCTCAGATACGCCGGTACTGCAATTACCTGATTTCACGTCACTGATACACTAATGTGCGGATGCAAGCCAGCTTGCGGTGGGCGGTGTGCCGTTCCAAGTCGTCGATGGGGTCGAGCGATTAATCGCATACACCAGCCGGAAAATGAAATCAGCGGAACTCAAGTATTCGACGCAACAGCAGGAACTACTTGCAAAGTCAATGCTTTAGCAGCGTGTCGAATCTTTTGTTTAGATCACCCAGTAGTTATCGAGACGGACCACATGTGACTCGAGGGCATTTTTCAGCAGAAGGTGGCGATCAACGGCTGGCTCGGTGGTACGACATCCTCGACGAATACTAACCAGCTTTCACGTACTTACCTGGAGCGAAGAATGGTATTGCGGACGCCCTGATGCGAAGACCGGATAACAAACCTGAAACAAAGGAGTTCAAAGATTTACCTGTCCCAAGTTTCAACGAGACGAGTTACCAACTTCGCGTTGCGGAAATTCGACCTACGAACGACCTTATCAAGTCCGTCATCAGCGGGTATACAAAAGACAAATTCATTCGGGAGATTCGACACGCGATCGAGAGGCGTGGTACGACATCAGGCGTTTGTGGTGTATCTGAAAAACAGTAAAAGCCTTTCTTCGAGGAGAAGTGCTTACTCTGGTATCAAGGAGCGACTGACGAAAAACCTCGGATCGTTGTCCCGAACGTGGTAGCGCTAAAACATCGCGTTATCGCTGAAGTACAGGATTCCAATTACGGTGGCCATCCCGGCACAGATCGCACATACATGAAGCTAAATGCTGACTGGTATTGGTCGCGGAAGGTCCGTACGATCAGGAAGTACATCACCGATTGCGAAGAGGCAACAGGAACAAGCCTCGATTGACGAAGACCCCTCGGAAGTTGGAGTCTCTACAGATTCCAGAAGAACAATGGCGCTCGATTTCAATGGATTCATCATGGACTTACCGGACACGAAGAGCGAGAAGAGCTCGATTTGGGTTGCTGTGGATCGGCTGACCAAGCACTCGCATTTGATCGCGACGACGAACGGTTTCTGCTCAAGCGGTCGCGACACTGTTCATCGATAATATCTGGAAGCTTCACGGTCTACCGCAAGACATTGTGTCGGATAGGGATACCAAGTTCGTCTCTGGATTCTGGAGCCAAGGTTTCGACAATGTGGGCACCAAACGCAAGATGACGGTACCATACCGAACTCAAGGTGATGGGCGAACAGAGAGGATCAACCGGACACTAGAAGAGTACATCCGCTGTTTCGTATCACCGCAATATGATGCCTAGGATGTGCACCTTGCGAATGCAGAGTTTACCATCAACTTAGCCGTCAGCTCGAGCATCAAGATGTCGCCATTTGAAGCCGACATTGGCTGCATCCCGCACAACCCACTCTCTGTTGTTGCCGAATCAAGTCGAAGAGGATTGCGCAGAGAACGACGTCAAGGCGCTCTGTTTATAGAACATCAAGCAGCCGTGCATCGCCAGCGTCAAGATGATTTAGAAGAAGCTCAGGCTAGGATGGCCTACGTGTACGATCGTTGGCGCAAGGAGCAGGAGTTCAACGTTGGTGATCAAGTGTACCTTAGTGCCAACAATCTGGACACGGCACACACGGGGTTCCCTAACTCACGCGAGCTCGGTCTCAACTGGATTGAACCACACTTCATCAAGCGCAAGGTACATCGACACGCGTACGAGATCAACTTAACGCCCGGACTCAACCTCTATTCTGTTGTCAACACCGGCTTGCTCAAGCCATACGAGTCCCCTACCTTGACTCTCGCGACCTCAAGACGTAATTCTACACGACGGCAATGTTGGCCAGCTCATGGAAGCGGTTATCAACAAGCGCCAGCGCAAGGGAGCCGAGCAGTACCTCATTCGGTGGGTGGGTGAAGCGAAAGCGAATTGGGAGCCACTCGAGAACCTACACCGAGTGACAGGCTTAATTTAAACGTATGAAGCAAAGACACCCAAGCGATCAAGAAAACGACGGCGACAAATACCCAAGGACATTAACGGACACGGCGGCAACTCAAAACGCGAGATTGACGCGTTTTTTTTTACCGAAATTATACTCAAATTCTAGTGGAATATTCAAGGTTAACAAACTTCAAGATTTTGTTCAGGTTCCAGGCACAAGTTCAAGGAATACACTGATCAAGATAGAAAAAAACCGTGGATTTTTTTTTAAGTTAGCCTATGTTTTGTCGGGCCCAGCGTTTTAGCGAACCAGAACGCGTCGAACGAATCGCACCCTCGCCAGCCACGAAAAGGCACATTTCAGCAGCGGCATCGGAACGACTCTATCGTCAGAGACGAAACGACCATGCGTCGTCACCGGCAGCATGAACTTGTGCGACGTACGCTCATGGCCTGGAAGGATACCTGCGCATACGTACACACCAGGCACCAGCAACAGGTAATCCAGACCAATGCAAGCCTGGACGCCGTCCAGGTGATACCGGACTTAGTTCACTCTAATCGTGTCTTCGCAGATCTCGCCGCAACCAATAGCACGGGTAGCGCGGTTGGGCTTCCGAATAAAGGTCCATAGTGTGGACCACACAACCCCGGCAGACGTAATGGGATTCTCAGTTTCAGCACGCGCACGGTACAACTTATCGATAGCAGCCTCCGAGTATCAATCTGGGATCCCAAGGGCATCGACAGCGCGATCCAGGTCACGGAAGGCGCAACGGTCATCGCGCGAGGCACCGATGGCTTGAGAGAAGTTGTCTGGGCCGATGAGTAGCTAGTTCATCAGCTATTTGCTGGTCAGAGGAGCGTTGTGGTACGATGACAAGGGGCTATCACGCGAGTACTCGCCACCTTCCTCGTTCGTACGTTTAATATCACGCACACGACCTTCAGTTGCATCAACAGCAACGCTGAGACCCACAGGCAGAAGCACCGCACCATTAAGCCAGGAGCACACGGCAGCAGCCATCAACGTCCGGAAAAAGCAATTCCCCGCCGGCTCGAACACAGGAGTAGCCACCAGTGCAAGTGCAGCGATGGCAACGAACTTGGAGAGAGCGACACCAAGAGTCCACGAGGCCAGCAGTTTCGTCAATACTTTCTTCACACAGGCGTCTCCTGTTGGAGCACAACCCGACTCATCCGTGATGGTACGAGCCTTGGCAAATAGGCGAGCGAAGTGGCTCGAGAAGCCCACAGAGAACGTCACAGCAATCGATAGACTCACAACCGACAGCGAGTTGAGAGGCACACCCATCGGCATCATCAGACCAGCGACTTGGACAACTGTGAGTGCAGCAATGAAAGTCACTGCAATTCCATACCCATAACTTCCTAGAGCCAAAATCTGCAGTACCAACACCACGGCAAGTCCGAGACCCACGACAACATACGCAGAGCGACGAATAGAGTGGAACTGGTCCAAGTAGACGTACTCGAGGGAGTACACCCAGACCTCGACGCCAGTTACATCGCTGATCCACTTGGCGATATATTGGGCCTGCGAGTAGGCCGTCACCGCTCCTTCCTGGCTGCCAGAGATCGTTGACGAACCCATTGTAGTGCTTAAAACCTTATAGGCAAACGCAGTTACATCCCTACCATAGCCAGTGCCGTTCATGGTCACAGTGGCGCTGCTGCTGATCACAGGAAGAGGTCGGTTATCAATACTGAGCTGTCCATGGTAACGCGTGCCAGCAGCATACGTGCACAACGGCCCAGGGGCTGCAGTCAAGAACATACTGAACAGGGAGATGAACGATTCTCGAGGCACCGACAACACGTCACTTGCCTCAGACAGACACGAGGGCGCTGCTGAGGCGCGTTCCCAAATATTCTCAGCACTGCTTTCTTGAGGACGAAGAGGTGAATACGCATAGGCGTTCTTCGAGTCAACGCGACAGCACTCACTGTCCGGGTTGACAAATCCCCAGAAATCGTCCAGCCAGGAGCCAACAACGACGTCGTCCTTGAAGTACGTAACCTTGCTGTCTCCAAACGCAGCCAACGCGCTGAGGATGTTCGGGATCGACAAGTCATCGCAGATTTCCTTCGAAGAGCAAAACTTGCTCTGGGCTGCTGCATCATTCGCGAGATCATTGAAGCTGTCACCGTTACCAGCTTCCACCACGAAATAAACGAAGAACTCCTTCCTCGATAAATCGTTCTCATCCACAGCACGGTAGTACGAGTGCAGATACGAATCAGTCGGGATGAATGAAGCTATAGAAAGACCGCGATCCATCGTCTCAATCGCCACAATCGCCACCAGAGAGCTAGCACCAAATACGAGAAGCACCAAAACCTTCGACGTCTTTTTCAGCAACACGTTCACGTAGCCAAAAACACAGCGATTCATCAGATTCAGATCAGGCATGGAACACGTGCTCCCTGGGAACGACGAGTTCTCTGTCGCAGTCGTGTTCTCAGCCTCCGAAAGACGTGGACGACGGGGAAATGAAGCGCGTTTGCAACAGATCACATCGTACGTTCCGCTCAGCTCACGACGCTTGTCCAACACTACAATTGCTAGGAACAAGGTCATCTGTAGGGCAAAACTAGCAGCAAGTCCTAGTACCAGTGATCCAGCCAACCACTGCGCCGCTGGCATCGCCGAATACGCAGCAAATGCAACGATGCAGCACTCGCACATGGTTGTCAGGATCATGCTGGGGCCAATGTGACCTGTGGCTTCACACAGCAACACGCAGGTTATCTCATGGATACCAAAGTCGTTGTCTTCCAGGCCAACAAACAGCGACCGTTGCTCCATCTTCAACTCTTCCTGCTTCAGGTCAATAGCGTGCAGGATCAAGAAGATGTTGCCCGTACCGATAGCCAGCGTCACCAACGGCAACACCACTAGTGTCACAATCTGAAGTTTCGCGCCAGTCCACGCCAAAACGCCCAAAGTTCCGCCCACGGCCATCAAAATGCACGCAACACCCATGAATCCCACACCGATCTTCGATGAATGGAAGAAGCGACGGTCCAATTTCCAGTTGTTCAGACCGATGACCACGTACACAACCATAGAGAGAAACGCTGCAATCCCAGCCTTGAATACGACGTCCAAGTTGGAAGCACCTGCAAATTCATCGTCTGCTGACGTCTCGGCAGCATAATAAATGTCGTACAGAGCGCTGTTCTTCGCCTCTTCCTCCATTCGAGTAATAAACGAACGCTCCCAAGCAAAAGTATCTGCATTTTTGGCTGCGTCTTGATGATTCGTCACCACCGCAGTCAAAAACAGCGTCGTTGCTTGTTCCAGATAAGTACTCGTGTCCACCGAGTTGCCATCCCCTGTAAATCCGCCCAAGTACCTCTGTAACTCATTCATCGGCAAACCAAAGGAAGACACACACGGGCAATCGCTCATACTGGGTGGAAGCTTCGATCCTGATGCGTTAAGTTGCACTTGTAATTCGCTGCATACAGCAACATCCGCTCGCTCAGGAGCGTCTACACAGTTGCTCAAGTGCTTGTATACCAGACCGTAAGTCTCGTACACTCGAAAGTGGTCCATGTCGTTCTGAAAGTACTGTGTCGCGGCGTTCACTCGACAAGAAGAGTTCTCAGTAACTTTGACGCAGATGTCACTGAGCGTAATACCGTCCGAAGTCACTTCTTTTTCCACAATCTGTTGTAGACGGATCGCCTCCTTTATATAAGCCGATCGGGTCACTGCACCACCATCTTTTGCCACGAGCACCAAACGCTCCAGTCGATCCACGGGTCCGAGCATCTCATTAAAGCGCGCCCGGTCCTGGAATACAGTGCTACTCTCTGTGACCCACAACTTCAATAAGTCCGTCTCCACTTCCAAACGCGCTAGACCACTAGAGCAGCACACCACAAGCATCAACGATAGTAGAATAATGTAGAGTGGGTGGTTCCCCATGGCCACAAAGTCCCCCCAGCGCTTCAGCTGCTGTGTTAGCCGATCATCCCAGCGCCCAATGCCCTTCAGTTGATCCAAGTTTATTGTTGACAACATACCAGAGCTCATAAACTCGTGCACAGGGTCGTTTATCACGTTTTGTCGCTTCTTCTTGCCGTACCGAGTAGAGTACGCGAAGCCAAGCGCCAATGCAGTAGCTGCAAGGAACGCAAGAACAGCTAGCGCGTAATTAAGGCGAACATAGCAAAGGGCATGGAACCTCCGGTGGCTTTGTACTGACCAATGAGCTCGAGATACTTGGTGTAGCCGTTTTCCTCGAGGAGCCAGCGGGACTCCCAAAAAACCTCCGTTTTTCCTGCAGCAACTATGTTTTCAACATGATATCGCGATTCACGAGCTACCTGTGAGCCAAGACAGTCGGAGATGGTCCAGCCATGCCAGCGAGACGTTGGTGCGGCACTCCGAGTCGAAGTTGTCTTCCACTGTGCGCGACGACTGAGTGGCGTACGTGGGGTGCGCCCGCCAGTCGACCCGGATGCCGTCTGCTTCGTTCGTGCCGTGGCAGGCTCTCGATAGGGCAAGTGTTTACGCGGCCAGGGTCACAAGGGCAGCAGGACAGCAGACTCAGCGAAGCAGGCGTGTGTTGCCGGAACCCAGTTGAGGCAAGACCAAGGAAAAAATAGCGGAGAGAAGGTGTGTAGTTTTAAAAGAGAAGCGAGGACGAGCAATGAAATCAACCTGACTTGGAGCACCAAGTATGAAGATCACTTCAATTGTTGGAGGAATGAGTGTGTCCAGTAGACAACATCTGATGTTTGAGACGTATCATACTAGAGAAAGATATTAAGTAATAGAGGGGCTCTCTCAACAAACTGTTTAGTTGAGAGCCGTTCGTCGGTGAGCCAAGCACACTTTGCTTTCTCCCCGCCAGCCCCCCGACGACCTTCCTCTCCCTTCTCTCCATTGCCAGTTTATAACAGTATCCGTACAGCTTGTGCTTGCCACTGAAGTGGGTTGTCTGCTCAGTGAAATGGCCGCTTGGGCGGTAACCAGGTTGGAATTTGACGTCGGTAGCGCGAAGGGCCAAGGGGTAATTGCGAGAGGGGTTTTGGCTTTCGCGCGGTTGAGTCATCGTCACCGGTTTTGTAAACTTCGCGAACAGGATAGGTTCGATCACCTCCAACAAAGTATACGTCCTCTTTTCGAGCGTGTAGGGTTTAAGGGTGCCTACTGTCATGAACATTGTATCCTTCGCGCTAGTCTGACTCCTTCAGCCGCGTCCCATACTTCACACAGCATGCAGTACGCCCTCAACCTCCCCTCAAAAGACGCCAAATCCAGCTTGAATAACGTTTGTCAACGTTTTGAGTACCCGGCTGCCACCTTGAAGGACAATGGCGTACATCATTGGTACCTGGGTGTCCAGCACCGCTTCTTCTAAGTAGTCAGCATACGCATCAAAAACAGCTACGCTTTGCTATAGCTTTCGTGTTCTTCACTCTGCAGCAGCCGTAATCTTGCCACTACGTCAGCTGCATCCGTGGCAATTTCCGAACTAAGCGAGCTTTTAGATTTGGGCAAACTGTTATTCCTCAAGGGCCAACCATTTTTAACGGGACAGGTACCCACTAAGGAAACACGAACCTATTCATGATGGGCTTGGTTTCTTATGCATTGGCTGTGTTAATGCGGATTTGTCCGAACATTAGTGAATAATGTAAGTGCCACAATAATGAAAGGTAACTTGTGATTTGCTTAAGTGATATGGATATATGTTCTTTGCTTACGGTAATGCGCCATTACTCCCGCATTTGCCACTTTATCCTCAGTTGGTCTAGTGTGTTGATTGGTATGATGCCTTCCTGTAAAGATAGATTATAGTCAAAACTGACCCCTGGGGCGAAACCAATGGGACGAAACCCTCGTCGATCGGCGATTTTGAAGCTGTTGCTGTTGTAAATATCAGATCTAGCATTTTATTAGTTGGACCACCGGTTCGGACTCCGAACTCGATTTTACCCTATACAGCCAACGACGGCAAAAGCCCCGTAACTATCAAATCTGCCACAACGCAACCCATCAATTGAAACCCATTCATAAAACAGCTCAAAATATAAATCCTAAACCAATCGAGTGACTGCACATTTCGATTATTACCCAATCGTTTTGTTTTTCAACCTTATTGACTAGTTTGTAGACAAGTAGTTCTGGCGCGAAGTGCGCGACGCGTGTTCTGATTTTTGCGCTCACTTCGTATTTTCCAATGCCTATCGCACCAAGGACACCAAAACAGCGCGCGTATACGATACCTAAGAAGTGACATGCCATTCCCCTTGCATTGAAAAACGTTGCATCGTCTGCCCCCGACTTCTAGGCTACCCGCCGCGTACCGTACAAGCCTGGGAAGCCCAGCTAGCAGCTATTTTTAGTTTTGAAGGTACCCAAACAAGTAAAACGCTAAAAGAAAAGGGCCGGAAAAAGGTTATTCCATTCTCCCACGGGCTCCTGACTTTTATGAAGGATATGCGTCGTGACGAAGAGGTTTGTTACGCAATTTTTATAAAAATAAATGAGCTCTATCTAACGATTTAATTTTGCGGTAGCCTTTGTGCACTACTATGATGCTAGAGTACATCAAAACAAACCACGGACGCTGGTTAACAATTACGTGACGGGTAAGAAGGCTGTTGTCTCTGCTAACAATGCAATCATGCGCTTGCTTCAGCGTTTTTCCAAACAGTAATTATACTTTTTTATTTTGTAATCTACAATATATGTAATATTTTGATAATATTGACAGCACTTTTAGTTCTTAGTCATGCTTTTACAGTTTTGGTAGCAGCCCATTGAGCTTATTTGGGCTAACATTAAGGGCGACATCGCGGACGACCCTGCTTCCGATATGGCGGAGCTTCGTTTCGAAGATTGACGCTGGATTTGCATATCTAGTCTCCGAAACCTGGACAGATGCCTACCAGCACGCTCAAGAGTACAAGCAAAAGTAACCTGCAGCTGGCGGACGAGTGTGAACTCGTATCCTATTCAGGAGATAGTGAGCGTGAAAGCTGTGAGGACTCCAATGTCAGTGACCGACCCGTTGGCTGATCTATACCCCCAAACATGCCATTTAAAAGTGTTTCTAACAAATATATAGTTCTTTTGACAATCATGATAAATGACCAGATTATCGTAATATATTTAAAATGATTGTGAATCGCCATCTGCTATCACGGATAAGCCAATAAAGAAGCTCAAACCACTGTACGTGGCAGGTTTATAAAAACAAATAGTTCTGCAACCAATAAATTTCAAAAGTCAGAATGAAGAGAAAGGGCTTCGAAATGGAAAACGGACTTCGGATTCGTACTCAGGACCCAGTTTTACCCTATATATCAAAATGTCGATATAGGTTTTCTAGAAGGAAATAACCTTTTTTTGGGTGCAAAGTCCGTCCGAGGTTTGGTGGCCGGGACGATACCATTGTAGAGGCCCACTTCTTGCGCACCTGCATGTCCTCGGGTTTGAGCGGTAGAGTGTTCACCATCTTGATGTACACCAACCAGTTCACCTTTGACAAGGTGCGCTGGATGGTACGCACCGAGACATCGAGCTGCAGCTCTGTCTTGAGCTTGAAGGCTGAAAGGTTGCCATCAGACGCTGCACGCACTAGCCGTCTGGTTTATCTGTCTGTCAGAGCTGGTAACGTCCCTGAGCGCTCAGGCGTCTTCTGTGACGGCGGGTTGGTGATACGTCGGATGGTGTCTCTTCTGCGACTGGTAAACCGGGCGATGTCTTGCCTGCTAAAGCCGGCTTCAGGCCTTCAATCCTTCCCCGCTCGCGCTCGGTTAGACGGGGCTTCTTTGGTTTTGCTACGGCATCCTTCTGCGCAGATTGGGCCTTCTGTATTGTTTAACATACATGTTGGTCGGGTTAAGGATGCGCAAACGACTTCCGTATCAATTTTTACGTCTCCGTTGAACGGGCAATCCAAAAATTATCAAAGAAGGGGTTGGATAGGTGCGTCTAAAACAGAATCAAATAGCGCCTTTCTCCGTATAGTCGGTGCCTTGGATGACGTGACGAGCTGCGAGAAGATAGCCACCAGCCGAAACAAAGAAGGCCGTTTCATACCTAGAGTGGCTCAGTGACTCGATCCATAGGAGTACTCGAGAGTCGGCTATTCTTGCTTGGCGTACTCGATACTCGGCTATTCTTGCTTGGCGTACTCGAGAATCGGCTATTCTTGCTTGGCGTACTCGATCGTCGGTGGTTATTAGGCGAAATCCAGCAGCATCCAAAAGGAGTCTGAGCAGGCCGTTGTTTGTCTGAAGCTGCTGCAGGATGCGCCGCTCAGTTCTTCCGAAGACCATGCTCGATGTCCGCTGAGAATTCAAAAATGATAGGTCACTCGAGGAGGAGGATAGATCAACCTCGCATTTTTTCGATCACGCAGAAAAAGGCACAATCCAGGGGCGGGGTGTGAGTGGGGTCTAACTGAAAGATGATCTTAGCTTCGGCTATCGACGGAAGGTCAACAAATATCAATATCTGTTTAGTTAGCTGTGTAGTTCTGACGTTGCTGCGGGCATTTGCGGTTGTCATCCTGGGCGAGTTGTTCTCACACAACGTTGGGTTGCTGCTTGCGCTTGCTGTTTTGCTTACGTTCGCTTTCATGAAGTTTTTAATGGCAACTTTAGGCCGCTCAACAGCCGCAGACTCCGTCTGTTTTACAATAGGGTGATTTTCGTGCTTGAATGAATGTGTGTTTGCATCAGAGGCGTGGATGCATCGACGAAACGCTCGTTCCCATGATTGCCCCGCTTTCCAATTTTCGAGCTGGATAGTCGCGCAACGTAGATAAACGTGGGTGATTGTCTTTCCCTTTAAGACCCGCTGAACTTTATACGGTCTGCTCAAAACGTGACGGTGATTCCATACTTCATCACGTGCTTTTAGCGATCTCCAATGTGCCACCGAAACCGGTATTCCAAACGCATCGACAGCTTTCGAAATGGGGACGGGATTATCTCCTATCTCCGTGTGCAGCTCCCCATCCGTGTCGTTGGCGCTAGCTGATAAGGACAGTCTTGGTTTTTCTCGATAGCGGAGGACCAACGTCATACTGCAGAGCCTATTACAATATTAAATCTACTTCCTCCGTCCGGAAATATTAGCGGTCCAGCTGTTTAAACAGTGTCCTAAAAAAAGGCGGTATGCATAGAAATGCAAGTCATTTGATAGTACCGTCGTATTTTGACTAAGTACGCACATACAAACGTTGCTGTTGCTGTCGGTCGCAGACCCTAGGGGTGTTTTAAGCGTTCTACGTGGCACCGTGCATTAGCGAATCACAAGCGATACATTCCTATTGGTTTCTAAAGCATTTCGTGTAAATTTGACATCCCCGCGAATAATTTTTAAATTTACATTTTCACCACGAACGTTGCCTTTCGATTATGTTGCGCCCAGGGGGCCAATTTGCTTTAAACTTTGACAAAAAAAATCCACCGTAATCTAAACGGTAATTCAAACCAAACAGTCGCTCGTTTGTTAGTTTCCTGTTTGTTTTTAAATTAGTTTTGACCGCCCATCCCGCTTATATTTGCGGACAAAGGAAGTATTTGTTTGACCGATATCATATAGCAAAGAAAAGGGTAGTATGTAAGCCATGCTGACAGTTCAGCATCTGTGTATAGAGTGCTGCTGCAATTATGACGAACTGACTTTTCACAAGCTGAGCACGGGTGTGTACATAAATGCTCGGGCATCAAGCATTCCGCTATACCACACTTCGTTTGTGGTGCTGTAAAACCTGTACGCGCTTTCTTTGGTCCGTGGTCGATGGGCAGTTGGCGATTTTTAGTTTAAATGGAAATCAAAGGCTTATGCGTGGGTGTGTTGCAATAGGGCCTTAGCGGGCCGCCAAGACGTTCTCTAAACCTGGGTCGGGATAATTCCTCTTGCTCCAATAGTATTTTGATATTACGATAAACCCAATTTAAACGGGTAGGGCTATCAACCCAAAAATATTGGATTGCGCAGCGTGCCATCCACTGATTTACCAAGTCTATTTATTTAATCGAGACCAAGCTAAAATTAAACACTAAATGATCTATTTGAAGGTCATTTTGCCTAAAAAATATTGGTTTTGGGCAAAAAGCTCATACAAATATACGTCATTATCGAGCCAAATGTCTGGCAAGCCTAAAATACAACTGTTTTATTGCCAATGTAAAAATTCTT